GAGGAGACCAGTTCTGCAGGTTTTACTGGACCTGATGAGACCAGTTCCATAGGTTTTACTGGACCTGAGGAGACCAGTTCTGCAGGTTTTACTGGACCTGATGAGACCAGTTCTGCAGGTTTTACTGGAACATTTTAAGGACATAGTTGCTGAATAAATGAGTAAAATGCAACATTTTAAGTTGGGGTTTGTCGTGGCAAGAATGGTCAGAAACACGGCGAGAGTGTTAAAGAGACACATAGTATTGCGGGTATGATTATAAAGTAATTTATAATGGGCAGACATGGAACAGAAAGCAATCACGAAGTCTGTTAGATGTGGGCCCGCCTGTCATCGGCGGACATGCAATGTTATACTGTCAGCTATCATTATGTGATAATGGACCAACCAATCAGAATCTGCCTCGTTCTGGTACATGAAGTAGGTCAGCTTGATGCTGACGTCCAGGGATATCACAAGATATGAACAATTGGACAGTGTCAAGGTGATACATAATAAGTATTCCACAACAGAGGTCAAACCCATTTAAGATGGTCACCTAACTTATATTGACATTAGTCAACACATAAATAGCTGGAACTCAGTAAAAATCTACAAACGTTGAACTATAGTTTGATGTGGTAGTAGCTGAGAGTCATCCACAAAAATACTGAGTGCTACAAAATCACACATTATTTTTAAGGTTTGAACAGCAGCAGTTTGAACAAGCAGCTGTAACTCCTTCATTTCCAAACAAAAAATATCTAAAACTATGATATGAAGACAGCGGGTTATATCCTTTGTGTTTGCGGTCAGCGGGACTGTAAAAAATTAAAAACAGAGCAATCTTCAAAAAGTTTAAATTCCACCAGTCCCTGATTGTACAAATAATACAACTGCACAGCCCTCCTAAGCTGTGTAATAGTCTACAGATCATACAGAAAGTTTGTACAACTTTTAAAGAAGCCAATGTCTTAATGTGTACTGATTATGTTCACACTATGCTGCAAGAGAAAATCATTGTTGTCCAACTGCAGTTTAATTAAGATCGCATCATTAAAGAAATCTGTTAGAAATATAGTATGAGGATAGATGGTAACTAAAAAATCATCAAAAACTTTATTCTAGTAAAACATGTTGACACAGTGGTTTGAGCTGCATCTGGGACAGAGGGACTGAATTAATTTCTTCCTGTATCACCTTTCTATTCTTAGGTCAAAAAGTAACGAAATGTGTTTGGTTGATTTTTTTTGTAACAATGCTTCTTGGCAATAATAGTATACCATTGGAAAGCCTGTTAATTTCTCCATTAAATGGTGCCATATTTGTAAGGAACATGCATTTGTGGGATGAGCAGTGGAGCTGAGTGTGTGGGCTGTGCACATAAAAAAAATTGCCAAATCTTCTCTGCCAAACAGCTTATTTTGCTGTTGTTATTGACATTTGTTTCAAACTTCTGGTACTTCCAGGTGCTGCCAATCAGGTGCCCGCTTTAAGATTTATTGCCAAGCAGCATTGTTACAACTGGGGTTAAGAAATTAAAATAAGGGATGCCCATCATTAACTATTAATCCATTAGTAAGATTTGTTCTTTAAATGGTTGTAAAAAATATTTAGAATGGCTAATACTAGACTCGCTGTATATTAAATGCATCAATCATCTTTCTTTAAAAGCTAAACATCAGAAACAAATCAACAGTCTAAATAAGCTATGCTGTGTACTTAGAAAGAAATAATCTACCAAACACAAATTTCCTTACATTTTGTGCTAAGTTTACATTATGTATTCTGAGATTATGTTGTGGAAAAATTATCTTATCAAGTATTTATACAGAATTACGTGTTCAAGAAAATTTCTTCACAGAAATGGTCTTTGAGTTTGTTTTTTTGCAATAAAATGAGCACAGGTCAAACAGAAGGACAAGCAGTCTGCATGAGTGTACTGAAGAGGAAGCTGTCCCTCTCAGCTTCATACAGTTTCGAAGAAAAAAAAAACATCGTGGAATGAAGAACCGAAACTATCCCCTCTTGACTTAACCTTCTGTTGACCCATATGTCTTGTTTTTATGATGCATAACAACAAAACTTTCCATTACAATGGCACTGTGATTTGTCACTTTTTAAATAAAACAAATTGCCTGGGATAGTATGTCATTGTACACTTACCCCAACAGAATATTTTCTCCCAGCTCTTTTATCTCATATTTCTCTCATAGGAACATGTGGTCCAAACCAGTTTAACTGCAGAACAGGGGAGTGTGTTCAGCAGCAGTGGCTGTGTGATGGATGGGACGACTGCCCTGATGGAGCAGATGAGCAGGGCTGTGGAAACTCCACCTACCCTCCCTTCAGTGAGTCCACATTGTAGGGGTGGGAATCTAAGATTCGATTCTAATTTTTGGGGCCACGATTCGATTCAAAATCAATTTTTCCTTCAAACCTGATAATTTGAGCCCATTTGTCATGTTTTTTGCAAACCTTGCACACAGTGAAGCTCAAATCAAACTCAGACTCATTCAGTAAAAACCGAAATGAGCCCAAATCTTTACATTCAGTGAAAACTGATAGTTGAATCTCTGTTTCCTCGAGTTTTTTAGTTTCCTCTTTGTTTTGGTGTTTTACATTACAGAACCAGCAGTCATTGGATTTGCTTTATTTATTTATTTATTTATTTATAATTGACCCTTAGCAAAAAGTAGTATACTTGAAGTTCATTTTAATGAGTATACTTGAGTATAAGTTTAAGAATATCGTATACTAGGCACCATGTACTTGTAGTATTCTTGAGAGTATATTGATTTAATACTCGTTAGTACTGAATTGGAACATTTTTATTTTATACTTTAAGTATACTGTTATGTTTATAAACATACCAAAAAGAAGTATACGTTAAGTACTTGTCATGAAGTATACTAAATACAGTATATACAAGTATGTCCCTAAGTGTACTTTTATTTACCATGTACAATGATTTAAGTATGCTAGCAGTTTACTAACAAGTATACTTCTAGGACTAAGTTGGCCCACAACAATATGAAAGTATACTCAAAAGTATACTGAAAGTAATCTTCTATGTATACTTTTAGTTTAATCTTGAAATATACCACAAATAAACCAGTCTGTGTGAAAAGTGTACTGCTAAAGTTTATCTTGGCCAAAATGTTGAACATTAGTTTAGACTAAGTATACTTAATTTTTTAGTATACCTTTAGTACAAGCCAAGTATAGTTTAAGATAAACTTGGTTAAGTATAACTCAGATTAGTACATAAAAAGTAAACTGGAAGTATACTCTTTTATTTTAAGTTTAAAATTAGTATACTTAAAGGATACTTACATTTACTACTTTTTGCTAAGAGGATTTTGGGACATTTTAAATCGATTCTGAATCTTTGAAAATGAGAATCACGATTCTGATGTGAATTGATTTTTTGGTGCACACCAACCACATTGACTAAACTACGGCAGGTTTTGGCTCCTCTGTCATTGAGATGATTGTAGCAGAGGAAGCTGCTTACAGTAACAGGATAACGAAATATCTGCTGTAGATGTTCTGTTTAAATGTATGCATTATTAGAACAATGTGTCTTTGCCTGCTGTTTGAATGCCTTTTTCATTTTTTTTATTTCACAAATCAGTCTCATCATGTGAGATCATAGAGGTGGAGATGTGCCAGGGCCTCAGCTATAACCTGACGTCCTTCCCAAACATCTGGTTATCCATCTCTGACCAGAGAGAAGCAGCCACACTGCTGCGACAGTATCGGGTAAACGTTACCCCTGACATACTGAAACACATTTACACATTAAATATCTGGCAGCAGTTTCAGAGCAATGAACCTCAGCTTGTTCTGTGGCCAGGTGCTGATGGAGCTGGCGTGCTTCAAGCCCCTGCGGAGGCTGGTGTGTGGGATGTTTCTTCCTCAGTGCAGCCCTCAGGGCGGCGTCCTCCAGCCCTGCCAGTCAGTCTGCTCCTCTGCTGAGCAGCAATGCAGCCAGGCCCTCGACCTCTTCTCCTTCAGCTGGCCCTTCAACTGCCACCTGCTGCCGGACTCGCAGGACCCCCTGGAGTGCTCACAGCCTTAACGTTTTAAGATCCCTATTTGTGGCATTACCGCTTTGTCTGATCTGGTAACTTAAACTTGTAGCATGTTTGAATGTCTATTTATCATTTTGATGCCATTATGTAAAAGATAAAAAGTTGTGAACAGAAAATATCTTTAAAATGCGTTTTATTGCATTGTTGCTTTTTTTCTCATTTATAATGCGTTTTTGATTTTTTTCCAGTTTACAGCAAAGATCTTATCTAAATAAAACCTGTTGAAAAATGACATCTGGGTAAGTTTATCGTAGCTGTGCTTTCATAATTTTAAGATGACATCACGTCTATTTTTTTCCCCCTTAGGACCCATGTCGTTGACGAATCGATGAGAACTCAAAATAAAAACAAAGACTTGTCATTTAAAACTCAAAAGTGCTCATGCAAGAATCAGTCAATTCTTTTACAAATCAAGAATGAACTTCAGTGCTTTTCTTCAGTGACATCGAAACAGCTGGCTGCTATGTTTATAACTAATCTATTCAGTGGAGAAGGTTACACCCCCCAGACTTAAAGACAACTCTTTACTCTGAAAATAACAATTTACAAGAAAAAAAACGGGACAAACGTACTTGTGAATTTGATCTACACAAATAATAATTTTGTCTTCACCGATTTCCAACATGATTTTGCTACATAATGAGTCACATCAATCCTTCAGGCACTGATACCCTTCAAGTCTGTAACATATTTATTGCGGAGGTACGATAAGTTTTAGGCTTTGGTCCAGAGCAAGTGCAGTCAGGCCCCACACTCGATATTTCCCGTTATGAAACACCGGTAGTGTGTATCCATACTTATCGCCGGTGCGGAAGTTTGTGTACCCACGGTTCTGTGGGTTGCACAGGTGAGACAAAGACAAGGTGAAGATGTCCTCGACCTAAAACGAGAGACAAAAAAAATAAAAGAAATAGCAGCTTTGTTTATTTTTGTTTAATATAACAATTGTCTTGTTTCTATTTTGATAAGAGAAGATTTATTTATTTGCATTTGTGTCAGTAGGAGTTTGTACCTCTTCAGGGTTTGGTTTGAAGGACAACTCTTCAAAAGGACCGAGGTTTGCCAACACTGGAGCGATCATCATCCCAGACTGGAAAATAAAATAATAATAAAATTTACAGTAGAATAGAAGATTTTATTATTTAAACTTATGAGATTACAAAACCAAAAGGATCTGCTGCTCCTCTTATTTAATATACTGTATGTGTAAATGACTTTAAATGTAACATTCAAGGTAGCTAAACTTCTGCTAGGTCCATCGGTTAGTTTGTTGATAATAGTTTAGCAACACAGAGCAGCAGACAAAAAGAATGATTCCACTACTTTACAAAAAAATTCCCTTAAACTATTGATAGATTATTAGCCTGGCCCTTGCCTTCCTACGCAGCTCTGCTCAATTCTAGTTTCGCTTCTCTGCTCCGTCTGGGACTTCTCCCATTGACAAGGATTTCTTCAGGAACATTTTACCTGAGCCAATCAGAGAACAGAAGGAGTTTTGAACGACAACATCGATATTCTGGACAGTAGTTTAACAATGGCAGTGAAGGTGAATGAAGTCAGTCTGTGTTGACAAGACCTCCAAATTAAATTAAATTTGTCTGACGAAGCCTGCAGGACTCTTTTACAGCCATCTTGTTTGGCTCGGTACTTCTCTCCTCTCAGTGCACGCAATTTCCGGTTAGCTTCTTAGCGTAGCCTCCTTCACAGTGGAGCTGTCGCATCGTGGCCAACCATTAGCGATTGGGTAAATCAGATGCAATCATTTTAAAATTCAGCAGAGGCCACGCCTCCAGCAAGAAATCGCTTCTCTATAGCCGAGAGTCCAGACCCTCTGTACGAAACAAAGTGAAGGACAAGGGTCTGGTTCTTACCAGGCTAATATATTACCACTTTAAAAGCCTGAATATTTTTCAAAAACAGACATCAAAGAGAGCGTGATTAAAACCTAAATTACATTACAGCAGAAAATAAATTCAATCCTGAAATTTGCTGAAGAAATTGAGTTGTCCAACCTAAAAAAAAACTAGCTAAAAGTACTTAAAACTGAAGGTAAAAAGTAAAAGTAGCTCAAAAAGACAAAATAGAGCAAGTACACTGAAGCAGATTTAATGTTCTGATGGAGCAGAAGAGATTTGAACACATTTCTTTAGGTAAAATATTTGGAAATAAAAATTCAACTATTTGAAAAGTGTAAAATGTTCCGAGGGTCCTAGAAGTGGAAACCTAATGAATATTACTTAGAAGAGACTTCACACTGTACATGTGATACACATATCAGAAGAGAGAGATGAAAAAATGTGAGCATTCAACTGATCACCAACCCACCACTAAGAGAATCAGAGGCCAGTCTAAGATCAACCTGCTCCTGCTGGATATGAAACTGGACCACACCAGGCCCTAACCCCCAATTTTAAAGTGAATTAAGATATATATATA